GCGTCGTAAGATGTCGGGACAGGCCTGCCTATGTCAAGAGAAAGCAGACAGAACTGGAGCAGGTTGCTGTCAAGAATGTACGCTCAAGGCTACGTATTGCGTACGACAGGGACGCACCATCAGGGTCGCCCGAACCAACATGCTCCACATGCACTGAGTGGGTGGACAACTTTCGGCAGGCCCTTGAAACCGCCACCTCTCTCCGGGAACGTTGTCAACTGCTTACACTCCTGCCGTCAACACTGACGAAGAATGAGGTTCAAAAGATGATTCCACAGGCCTCAATGTACCTCATCAGTAAATCCCGAAAACTCAAGGAAAAGCATGGCGTGTGGTATGAGCCGGATCCTTACACGAGGTGCAAGGTGAGCCCTGAGAACCTGTCTGCTGCCCTAGAGTACTTCACGAAAGACGAGCTACAATGTTCGCGCCAAATTCCCAACCAGAAGGACGTCATCTCTGTCATGCTCAACGGAGAGAAAACGTTCGTGCCAAAGCGCTTCATGACACGCTCAATACGAGAGGCCTTCCGTATATACAAAGACAAGCATCCCGATTCCGGCGTTGGGCTAACGAAATTTTATTCGTTGCGCTCTAGATGGGTCCAATGTATTCCACACCAGGAAGTGTGCGTTTGTGTGCGCTGCGCCAATTATTATCTTTGTATTGCCGCTCTAGAGAACGTTACAGGCTCAACATTCAACACTGGTGAAATGAACTCGGCATTTCTGTGCGACCCAGCAACAGAACTGTGCCTTCAAGGAGACTTTGATCACTGCCCAAAAGGCCAGTTTCTTACACTCCAGGAACTTGATATCCCGGAGGATGAAGAGATTGTGCTTGCAACATGGGAGTCCGGTGACATTGTGAAAAAAACTTTGGAACCTGAGACTTTCCTAAAAGTCTTCCAAGTGACGTTTGGAAGTTGGGTACTTCACAACCATATCCGGCAAACGCAAGGTAAAGCGATCTACGATGAAAAACAGTGCATGCAACGCGGGAGCATTGTCTTTCATTTTGACTTTGCTGAAAACTGGACCATCGTGCTTCCTGACGAAGTGCAAGCATATCACTGGAAAAAAAAAACAAGTTTCGATATTTACATGTGTAGTGACGACAAGAAAATCTACAAACAGCTTTGCCATCATCAGTGAGGACCTGTGTCACGACGCCGCTCACGCTTGCTTGGCTCTAGAAAAAGTGAAGGAGTAGGTTGAAGACAACGTTGCGGTATACACTCCGTGCGGGAACTATAGGGGGCGCTTTGAAAAACGCGCACAGCGCCGCTAGCGGAGTAGCTGGCGTTCGACTGTGAGGCGCGTTCAGCAGCCTGCGGCGCCTTTTCGCATGCCAAACTGTGGCGGCGGAAGCGCGCGCGGACGAAACTTTTGCTTTTTGAGCCGATAAGTTGAGGGTGACGTTGCATGAGTGCTGGGGCAGAAGGGCATTTAGCTGTTCTCCACTTCTTATATATTGAGTTTGAGTCGTTATTAGGGGTAATTTCTCTAGTTGCGGCCAAAAAAGGAGTTGGAGCAATTTTCCGAAAAACAAGACGGCCGCCACCATAATTGCTCTGAGTGGGAAATTTATTTCGCTCGTCACTGTAAACCTAGGACTGCTGGAACGATGATATTTGGAGGCGAGTGAGATGTTCACTAAGTTTGTGCACGAAGAGTGCCAAGTTTCTTTAAGACAGCAGGTGTGAAAGTTATGTTTCTAACGAATAAAGAAATAAAGCTGTACGGGATATCCAATATTGGACCCAAAATGTTGTGTTATAGCGGGCTGTGCAAAGTGCAGATTTGGGCAGACAGGTGCTTGGACTTGACAGTAACATGACACAGCACTTATTATACAAGAAGAAAAAGGTGGCATAGGGAAACCAGGTGAAAATTTGGTTTGGGCGGCGTAACTCAATGGGAACCGGTTTTGACCATGAAAAGGCTGTCAAGAGAATACCACTGATTGCGGAAGGTGGAGACTTTACAGGTAGGAAGGGACTGGTGGACTGTACTTCCAATTGAAACAACTTTACGAAAGGTGCTTCCAAAGCCGAGAAAGCAAAGCTGTCGGCCAACACACGGTTTGACCGCCAAGGGCTTTTGCGGTCAGCTGTTGTGTAATAACCTGTTGTACGAGGTGTTGATTTTCGGCGCACGGGTACTTTGACATGACCGGCACTTGGCACAACATTATTATAACAAAAAGAGTTGGCATAGCGAAACCAGGTGGAAATTTAGTTTGGGCGGCGTAACTAAATGGGAACAAGTTTTGACCGTCAAAGGCTGTCAACGATAATACCACTCATCGTGGGAGGTGCACACTTTACAGGTAGGAAGGGACCAGTGGACAGTACTTCCAGTTCGAACCACTTTGCGATAGGTGGCTCTAAAGCCGAGAAAAAAATTGTTGTCTACAGAACTCAGGGTGTCAGCGTTTTCACATCCAAAAGGAGGCTGATCCAGGAAGAAAGCACACCACATAAACTTCGATACTCAATCATCGATTCTCCAGTGAATCCGAGTTTCATTGTTGTTTTCTTTAGATTTATATTTGTCACTTTTTTTACCGTTCGAATCTTTCTTCATGAAGTACAAATTGCACGCCATACTTGTCCGGAAATATCAATGACACGTACGATGGGGACGAAACTTCTTTGGAGGGCATTCCTCCAACGAAATTGGCATTTCATAACCGCGAGTGTGGGATGGCATTTCAGTTCGTTCTATCGGCGCTTACACATGTAGGTGTTACTGGTACGAAAACAAACGCAGAGCGCAAAGCGGCAGTGAAGAATATGTCAGCCGTGATGACACAGTGGCAGACATGATCGGGAGACCGAATTTCTCGCGTCGGACGGCACGGCTCCATCGTTGTCGCTGTCCCAGAAAACATCGGCGAGGTGAAAAACTGTGAAACTTTGTCTCCACGAGACACGACGCATAACTATTGAAGCACTTAATGACGCAGCACAGGCAGCACTTCATGCTGTGAACCCAGCGCAACCGCACCACTCCGACTTCAATATGCGTACCAACGTACGCGGCGTGGTTTCGGTTTCGTTTTTTCCGGGGTTCTCACTGCCTACCTTCGCTACCGGCCGCGCGGCGGCGCGCCAGTCGCGTCGCACGGAGTGTATACTCGTACGTGACGTACGTAAGTGACGGCGCCGCCAGTCATTTCAAGAATCGCTACCAGCTTCACCAATTTGCAAAGGACGATTGCCCACAAGCCCAGAGGTTATTTTCTGCATCTGGACATGGGAAAAATGCATGTGACGGAGTTGGCGGACTCGTGAAGCACCAGGCCACGCTGAACAACCTGAGAGAACGTTCAGTAAGCGCAATTCAGACGGCCAGGACAATGGTGAGCGTTCTATCAAAGAAACTGAAAGGCGTGCATCTTGTATATCTGGACGAAAATGAGGTTGTTCGGTATTGTGAACAAAAAAAGGAAGAGTGGCTGACGGTGCGCGCCTTCCCTGGCATTCAGTCTTGGCACGCGTGGCGGCTCAGCAAGTCATCAACAGAAGGGACCTGTGACGTATATGTAGCACTGACAGTCGGATCTGCTTGGAAGCCACTTTATTAAATGGGTACAGCGAGGAAAACCTTAGCGTAAAGTGCCGAATTTGATTTCCCAAGGACTGCTCATTTTGGATGCAGGGACATCTTATTTATCACATTTTTCTTCACGGGGTATTTAACCTACTGTTTTTGTTGGTGGTTACTAATAATTTTTATCTGATCACTATAAAGAAAATCCCAAAATGTTATCCTCGAGCAGGATAAAATATATCGGCTTGCCACGATTCATTCATACACCGAGAGCATCGAAGCTGCTCCAGTTAGGCACTATGGCATCCGTCACCTGAAATTGTTTGTAATCGTAAATACACAGCCAACCTAAATATCTTACTATTATATCTTTGTTTTTGTGTGTGGAAGTAAAGTTATTTATTTTACTCTAGATGTAAAATATACCGGAAGGTACAACTTCACACTGCATCATCTTTTCTCAAATCATTAGTCTCTAATATGATACCACTTTGTACGCTTATGTAAAATGCTGTATATAGTTTCTCCTCCCTTTTACTGTGTGACCGATCGCTCTTTTTATCAATGACCTCATCTGAATAAATGTATATAAAAGATTTGTGCAAGTTTCATGAAACTGGAACTCAGAGTCACTTCTTGTATAGGACACTGCTAAGTGTAGGCTTTGAAAAAGGACCCTACTTTGGGGAGTTGTATCTTCTTTCTCAATAAAATGATGCAACATGTTCTTAATGGAAATGAATGCCGAAATAGAGTATAACAGGTTACCCAAATTTAAAAAAAATCGAGGGTGGTGTTTTTTTTTTTATTCGCATTGGAATTTTTCTTTGTTTGATTTTTTTCCCATGTTTGCCTAAATATATTGTAACTATTGTGTCACTCAGATACTTTATTTATTTTTTCAATAATAGCCATATATTAGTAAAATAATGTCTGCAAGTTATGTAATAATGATTAAATTATTTCATGAGATACAGATTTCCAAAGTTTGCCATTTGTCGTTCGAGCAGGCATGTTTGGCAATTTTTAGAAAACTAAATATATTTTTAATAAATATTATTACTTTATATTACAAGCAAATTGTACCCATAGTTTGTTTGTAAAAAGTTTTAAAATTCTCCTAATTTTATTGTTTTAATTATTCACTTTCAAACTTGCCCCCTCCATCAGTGCGCGTTATTGCAACTGTCCACCTCTCCCTGCCTTACGATTTTTCTTGTCTCCAAATTTTTTTTCTGGTCAAAACTAAGTGTGGATTCGTTTATACCAGACACTAGACAATGTCATATAAAAACATCAGTTGATTTAAAAATGTCGACCAGCCACCCTTTGGTCGATCTTATCTGAAATCACCCTGTAACAGTTGTGCACGCGTGCTAACCAAGGGCTGATATCGAAACGGAACGTACGGACCCTAATACAGTTTGTGTAAGATGATCTCACTTGTATGAAGGTTTGGGTCGCACAAGAGGGAACGGAGTGAAGCAAAATCACTTTTCAGATACTGGAGCTTTTGCTTTAGTTCGTCCGAGCATCCTCCATTCTCCATGTATTTTGTGCAAGAATCGACGGACTCCAAAACCCTGAAAACATCAGTCAAATTAGTAACAGCACATATGAACAAGTGTAACTTCTTTACGTTCTGACGAGCGCGATGACAAAGTTACGATTTCTCGCACACCCATATACAACGTCAGCTTTAGAGAAGGCAGTCTGTGGCACTTTGAAAAGGGTAAATTGGGGTCTGGGAGAGGTGACATCAGTGAAGCATATAATCAATAAAACACACACTGGCACTTGCAAAGGTTCCTGTATTCACAGTTCTAAAATGGGAACAATGAACAGTGTTATTTATAGTTTTTTTTTTATTCGAAATATGTTTTGTCATGGTTTTTGGAGGTTTCATATACGTGAAAACCACAAGATGTGTGCAGAAGAAATATTTTAGCAGTTGTGCTTTCCAGTCATTCCTTGAAGCACTTGTTCAAGTCATATCAATAGCTGTTCACTTCTTCTTTGAGAATATTAATTTATTTATATATAGATACTCACACCCTCACATAAATAAAATATATTGTAAAGAAAGAAACGGCAAGGTGATTCATGACATTTAACAATTTTACACCCTCTTTACAATGCAATAATAACACGAAGGCACGCAAGCACGCAAAATAAAATTAAACAGTTTACATTGAAAAGAAAGTATATTCCGTCAATGAAGTAGTCAACAGAGTCTTAATTTGTTAGCGATACAGGCAATTTCTTCGATTTAACAACGGATCGGGGAAAAATGTGTCTAGTCGAAATGAATCATGCATTTGTGAACGAGCATGACAAGAGTGGGTATTTAGGCGACCTGACAAGATGATATATTTTGTATTTTGTAATATCAACGTTGAATTTTCCTTCAATCAATAGGAACAAAATCTTCGCTCTGTGTACCCGCGCTCCTTCACTCAGCTTGATCAAGTGTCCCTGTCGGAAGTTGCCGACGGCGAACTTAGTGTGTTGTATTTGTTGGGTATCAGCCTGATCGCTTTTCCTATTGCATGTTCTTAGTGGCGTTGACTTTCATAAATGAGTTTTCTTTAACTATCTTCCTTATCTTGATTACGAATAATCTAGAAGAAGCTGCAAGAATTATATTACAGCAAGGGGTATATTCAGATGCTTGATAACTTCAATAATTAACTTCTCCCTTAATTATTTAATTAGTTGATTTTTATATTTCATCTACAAATTGGCTGCACGATTACGAGTAAATAGACGGGCGTATACTTTTGGCCGATTGCTGAGAGTATAGGTATCTTTTGCTTCCTTTTTTGCGCTGTCAGTCTTCAAGATGATGCTCCCATCTTCACAGTGGAACTTCAAAAACTGTACTCACTTGCAGTCTTCAGCGAGCACTTTTTCCTCTCTAGCCTTTGGAAATTCGGTACGGTCCTCGGCCCTCTTGAAACATTCCCAATATCTTTCGGCATCGCACCGTTGTTTTCCCAACGAACCTTACAACAAAAAGAGTAAAATGAACTTATTATGACATTTTCAACGAGTAATATTTTCCGGTATTGCTTTTCTAAGGTTGAAGTGGGTGGAATAATACTTTAAACATGCGTATCCCCACGAGGAATCATGTTTAGCCTATGGTCACTTTCAACTAAAGAAACGTAGGGCATGGCTCTGTACATTCGCGCCTATTGCTAAAAGGATTGGCTCTTCAGCGTTGCTGCAGGCTAATACCGCAATTTGATTGGCTGATGAGTGATCACAAGGTACCCGGAACTCGCCACGCCCTGCAATTCTTTAGTTGTCAGGACCCACGGGTTGAGATAAAAGGTGTTTGAGAAGTGTGGGGCAAAGCATATGCTATAGCGCTCTGATCATCGATCTATTTCTTTACTTATTCTTAGGGGGAAAAAAACATAAATTGGACGCTTAAAGGATGCATGCAAAAGAACAAAACATTTCTCTTAAGCCGCCTAGACGGGAAAAGGGTGTCACAAAATAAGAATAGAAATAGTTATTTTTCCATTAAGTACAAGTACATGATGGAAGGGGACTGAGGGAAAAAGCTGTATTTGTGCTGCTTGACGAGTCATTGACCCCCCTCCCCAAGAGGCAACAGCGGCAAGTCACAAAAGAAATGTATCACTTCATCAGCCAACAAACATATAAAAAGACACGGGTCAGTAATTCAATCTATAACAATCTATTCCATATATAACATTACAGTGTGGCAGATAAATTAGCTCTGTTAAACAGACGGTTTAGTAAAAAAGCAAGAAGTACACACTAAAAGGCTTAGATATATGGCGACTATGTAATACTATACTCATTGACTAAATTCGTTCTGAGTGGATGTAACTGCAACTCATAAATGAGGACATTGAGTTGAATATTTACTTAGTCATAGCTATGCAAATTCACTCTCCAAGAAAAAAAGTCTCTGATTTCTTTTACTGTTGATGTCGAAGGATGATCATGATTGTTACGTTAATTCAGTATGGTCCGAAACAAATTTATGACAAAACAAAAAAAACACGAAAGATTTAGAATTATATTTACGGCGCGAAACGAATCTCTAGTTGGCACCTGCGTTAGCCCGCGGAAAAGTGGCCGTATGGTCACGTGACTGGCTGCTGTGATCACGTGATGCTTGCACTCTTTCGGGAGCTTCCTATGGCCTCTGCAATGTACTAAAATTTCGTTTGAAGCGCAACAAAATAATTAAGGTTATTGAGTAACTTTCAGAACCCAAAGGAAGCTCCCGAGAGAGCGCAAGCACTGCGCGATAGACCTGTGCGCCGGTCAGAAGTTGACTGCGACGGCGCGCCGGAATGTTTATTCCTCAACGGCGGCGGCGGCGTGGAAAAACGCGTTCAACCAGCCATTGCCTCCAAGATCCCACGAGTGCTTCGGGATCTCCGAGGCCATGAACCAGCGGCGCGCGAAGCTGAGCGTGCAGCGGCGTTCAGCGGCGGCGGCGCACAAGTCTACCACGTGACCGGCGGCGGCACCCGCGGGCGCCATCTACGAATTCGTTTCGCGCCGTAAATATAGCTTTATTTTTATTTTTTTGTTCGTTGTAAATTTACTTATGAAATTTTCTTCCCGTCCAGGCTGTTTAAAAAAAAAAACTTTTTTCTTTGCATGTATTTTTTAAGCGCGATACCGTAATCGGGCCCCGTTCGCGAAGCGTTTATCGTATAAACCCGCGCTCGCTCCCAAGGCCTGCAAGCGTGTGCGCGTGGTCTAGTCGGCAGCGTCACGTGTCTCGTGACGTCACACGTGAGCGTGAGGTCATGCGGCGTGACGTCACACCTGGCTGTGACGTCATGAACCGATCGACCCCACTAAATTTAGCGGAGAAATCTTTCCGTCAAATTTAGCGGAAATTTTTGAACGACAAATTTAGTGAGAAACTTTCCCGCAAAATTTTGGGGGAAAATTTTACTCTCGTGACATAACACGTGGCGTCCGCAAGTGCATGCCGGGATTTTCCGGTGTACCGACACCGACGCCATATTTCCTACGACACGAGCTCCTAAACGATCGCGTTAAGGTTGTATAGCAAATCGCTAGGCAATTGTGTCGGACACGTGCAACGTTCTTGAATCACGAACGTTCAGCGATCCTCTTAGCCTGTGTCCACGGAGTGCGGGGAATGACGGGCTGTGGCCGGTCACGAGTAAATATTTCCGCTAAATTTAGCGGGTGAACTGAGTTCATGTGTGGGTCACGTGACGTCAATTCTCCGTTTATATTTAGCGGGGAAACTGAATTTTTGTATAGGTGATATGACGTAAAGTTGTGTGACATCATTTTTGTCCTCTACACCTGGCGGGGAAACTTAACTGGCGTTGAGGTCACGTGACATCAATTTGGCCGCTATAGCTAGCGGGGAAACTGAAGTCATGTGACGTCACAAGCCACGGCTTCACGAGATGTGGCTTTACGAAATCAGGAGCCAGTAGCCAAAGAACATTTCACGTTAAAATATTCTTTGAGGATTAGTAGCTTTAGTGACTCGCATAGCATCCCTCAGCCGCAACTCGTGTTCGCTGTGTGACAGTGCACTCCTCGCAGGACAGCAATGCGGAGCTTTATTCAGCATATATTTTCCCACTTTTCTGATGATGTCGGCTTATGAATAGAGAAAATGTTTTAAAAACACGATTCCTCCGAGATGCAGAATTTACGAATCCATTCGTTTCCTCATTTGTTAATTTCAGGTGATCACGAACAAGTATTTTCTTAATTATAATGCAGGAGGGGTGGGCTAACTTAGTTTTAGGTTGATGAGATTATAAATTAGAGACATTTTTTTTTTTTTAAATTACATAATATATTAGGCTTTAGTCTAGATTGTTGTATTTGTTTTCGCGAAAACGTATCCCCCCCCCCCCCCTTGCAATAATGCCCCGTGCGATGCCGTTTACCTGAAATAAATAAATTAATAAATATCATAAAAGTTATGTAATATATACAGTTTCTGCTAGGTATCTATTTATTTATTCGAATAAGCTCTTTGGTTCGCTTGAGAAGTACAGACGACGCATTTTAAAATGTTTGAGTGTGTCAAAGTCATCCGTTTATTCTCAATTCATATTTTATAGCGGAAGACAGAGCATCTTGTCTTTCAACACTGGGAAATAACGAGCGTGCATTTTTTATACTCTTTGTCTGTATCTTATTTTGCGACACAAGACTCGCGAAGCTGCCGCAGCAGACTTGGTCTTTGTCAACTCTCCTCAAAAGAGAAAAGTAAAGTTTTTTTGTTTGTTTTTTTTCAATTATTACTCGTAGTTTTAGTATTTCATATTGAGATCAGCCATTTGTACTCACCGTCAAAACGGGTGCAGTTGTTCAGGTCAAGATTGGTGTTGTAAAGGTCATTCACCGCCTCCCTGGCAAGACTTGTAGATGGGCAGCCTTCGGCGGACTTCAAAAAACACGCATATTCTCCATATCTGAAAAAAAGCAAAAGAAGAAAAATGCGAGGAACTACGTAAATGTGGGTGCTTCAAGAAAATCTACCTAATCATGTTGTATTAAAATGGCGGTACACCTCATTCACCGAGAATACTGGTGCCAAAGCGCCGACAAGTATCCTCCATACTCCCTTTCCCTTCGAGTCCGACCTCGACCGCCGCTATGATTCGATTTGGTGGGATCGATCAAGCAGCGCCAAAAGTTTATAATCCCTCCGTGCTCAATATATTTTTTTTTTATTGTGAAAGCATTAACTGTTTTATGGAGCGAAGCCGGCGTTGTCTGTAACCCTCCGTAGCTGCGAAACGGCAGTTACATTACCATTGGCCGAAAGCATAGCCACACAGATGCTTCGTCACGGAAATCGGCGGGGCGCTCCACTTCAAGGCGTACGCGCCTCAGAAATAAAACACAAAGAAAAGCACAGCAGCGCAGATGCATCGTCACGGAAAAGGGGGAAGGGGGGGGGGGGGGGGGGGGAAGCTGCGGACGTGACGCGCTACTTGAAGGAATGCGCTGCGTGCCCGAATGCTTTTGCATTCTTACACGTAAGCAGTCTCAAGTATATTCTTTACTTTTTTTGTAGGCTTCCTATCACCGGTATAACCATTCAAGCACAAAAAAAAAAAAAAAAAATAGCCAAGGTGGTTATTGTGCGATGCATCATTGTGCACGACTGGTTTAGTTGGTGATAGAAAAGTCACAAAGACTGTGAGCTTCGTGACGTTGCACTTTTGAGGCGGATTGTTAACAGATCGTGGTGACGGCTACGGTCGGACGTAAAGTGAAAAGGGAGCTCGGGCGCTGACAAGTTAAAAAAGGCAGCGTGTGGTGACTCCTGTCCCGAGCATCTTGAACTCTCGACGACGAGAATGTGGCGCTAGCTAAGACATGTTTGGTTCTCTTTACATATAATCAAACACTTGTAATTGAATTCCTTTTCCAAGTAATCTTGAAGTGGTTTGATAACTTTCATTTCGTAGTAATCGTGAAAGTAATTTGGGTTACTTTCGGAACTAATCAAGTTGCTTGTTTTGACCATTGGTATTCTACAACCGCCTCTCCTTCAGTCTGGGTTTACGACTGCTAACTTCTTCAGTTTCGAGCTAAAGATGCTGCTATATGTCTATTTTATTTTATTATAAATCTTGGGAACAACGAGAAATATACTTATTCTTACTGGGTTGTACGAAGTAAGGTTACTCTCTTGTCTAAACTACTTGGATTGCCAAGTCCATGTACTCTTCGAATGGCTTTCAGTGCGTAGTTTGACTTCTAAAGTAATATCTCTGTGTTCATTGACCGTTCGACCTCCCCATCTTCTCTCCCTTTAAACTACTTCAGTCGGGCTCAAAAATATAATCAAAACCAAATAATATCCAAGCTATGGCGCAATAAAAAGTTTCGATTCTTGGGACGTGCTTGGTCAGCAGTCGGAGTTCTTGAAGAATTGAGAAGAATAATCCGGTGGCTCTAAACCACGGATCGAAAGTTCGAAAGGATTGTTTTATAACTCACAGAAAAGTTTGGAAGAATCTTTACGATTTTTATGTTCAAAAGCTATGTTTAAAATTTGTTTAAGCTTTATTTCTGGATGCTGCAAGTCGTTACGACATTAAGCTTCTCAAGTAAACAGAAAAGAAAACCGTTGCCTTTTTAAGCAATGGTCAATTACAATTTCCCGTACGAAATGAAGTAACCCAGTGAAATAGATATTTACCCGGTGTGCGTGTAATTGCAATTGAAACATATTTTTAACTAGTTAAAGGTTAAGGTAGGTGAAAGGGACGCGAAAGAGCGAATTGGAAATCAAGAAGCGTGACATTATAAGCCACCACCTTTGTTTCTTAAAGGGGCGGTGCAACGATATGCAATTGGAATGTTTTTCACTTTACACAAGCTTACTGGCACTAGTGGGGCTCAAGGATATTCGCACGCAACGCCACTGACCAAGAAACTCCTTTGTTGGGCTCTAATTTCGAGGACAAAACCGAGCGTTTTCATTCAATCTCTCCTTCGCAAAACCTGATAACGTAGCTGGGCGGTAGCAGTACCGCCCAGGGACGATATTTGAATGCGGCTCATAGATTGGACCCGAGCATTGCGTGGGCCCTCGATATGGGCTCGTGGTAATCTATAGCTCGAAGCATTCGGGTAGTGTCCTGTGTCCAATCGCTGCAATTAAGAAAACAGCCGAACCATGACAATGTCTGGGACCTAGCGCGTGTCCTGTGCCTTGCCAACCCCAGCGCGTGGCTATGATCTACATTGGCGGCACATAATCGGCTCCAGATCACGTGGCCGCTTGTTCTGGCTGCGAGTTGAGGGGGTGACCTTTGCTCGTTTTCTTTGTTATTTTGTTGCGACTTCAATTGCGTGTGATGAAAAACGAACAGGTATTTTACAGGTCATTAACGTCAGGGATCCGTTCTTAGCGGTATTTGCACAAAATACAAAAATCGTTGCATTGCCCCTTTAAGCTGTCAGGGGTTTGTATTTTTACAATAATACTCGCAAATGAATTTGTGCTGACATTACCTGCATTCTCTTTCATCACGGGTAAGACGACCATCTCCTTCAAGTGTTGTGCGTTCATCATTGTATTCACCCATGCACATATGAAAAGAAGTTTGGTTGAGACAGCGGTTCCAGTCGACCATGCCTGAAAATATCGCAGTCAATAAACAGATGTTGCCGCATTGCACTCCAGTGAGGACAAGTACAAGTCGTGATATGCGGTTCCAATGGCGTTCACAAAGAACATCGAAACCTGACACTTTGCGTAAATTTGTCGCCAGGATGTCACGTTTCTGGTGTTGGTAAGCACGCAAAGACTTTGCACCTTAAGTTAGACTTCAAGAAGGTTTTTGTTACTTGTATAGCCTGTCCAAGAAAAAAACAAAGTTTCAAGCGTTTTCTTCGACATAAAAATAGGCTACAAATTGCGGAACACCCAATTTCCGCCCAATAGGTGCGCTACTGGTCCAGACCAGATGGCGTTTCAGAACTGAACGTTATATCTTATTAAAATGTTATGGGTGATCTTTTTTTTTTACTTTCCATGGAAACCTGGGGCCCATTCCCGGTAGTCGATGCCTCCAAACCTATGTTTTTATGGACACCGGCGGTCACCGTTTTCCTATTGGAAATTTATGAAAATTGCTAATAACGTTTGAATAATATGACGGTTAGTTTTTGAACTCTGTCGTTTGGCTGCAGGACCACTAGCGCTACATTTGATCGGGCGCTGAGCCTTCGGCAATGCTTAGTTTATGTTTGCACTTTTTTTTTCGGTGGGGCGCCTTGCTTTCGAGGTAAATTCATGGAGCGTGTACTTATGCTCCATCTATAGTGTACTTTCCACAAAAAAGTGCAACTCCCGACATTAGTACATTTCACAAATAGTCTCGCTGGTAAATGTGTCACAAAAGAATGCTCGGAGAAGGTGTTTGTCAAGACGTGCCTGGAAAGCGTCTCCGAAAGGTGTTTTGGACCTTATAGTGTCCTATTCTGCCCGCGCATCGAACACGGTCTCGGAGTGGCAACAAATGACGTAGTCAAAGCCGGAGTGTCGTGGTGTCGAATGTCGCGATCCTGGCGGTTGCTCGTAAAATTCCCGGCAAAATTGTGCATTCCCGCGTTAATCCATGGAAGCGTCACAGCAATATCTGCGACAGGTCACGACGAAGACGCTGGACATCGGCGTCGCGCTCCCGCATTGTGGGATGCGTGAACTAAAGCGTTCGGAGCAAAAGTGACATCTGACCATTTTGTTCCGAACGCTTTTGTTTGTTTGTTTGTTTGTTGGTTGGTTTGCTGTTGTTTTCCGGAGCAAGGGAAAGCGCGTTCCCCGGAACGAGCTCTTATAACTGAAAGTGCTACAACGGCATATTGTTATCGCCTATTGTTTGTATCCCGAGAGCGCGTGGAGTGGATATCGAGTACGACAAAAACCCGAGTGGGTTACTAACGCTGGGGTGTAGCTCAGTGCTATCGTATACGCTTCGCATGAGAAGGACCTGCAGGATCGATTCCCGTGGGCGACGGCGGCGGCGGGCGACCTTTTTTAAGAATTTGCAACATCGCCAACTACATTATCAACAACAACGTCATTAACAACCGACATCAACTCCAGTCAAAGTCAAATTGGACGTTTGAGTGATTTATACAGCGTAAGGTTGGTCTGCCAGTAGGGGCGACACTGGTTTACACTGTAGATGAGCAATTTAGCCAGTGCAGTACAACCGCTAGCCTGGGGTCTTTAACGTGCTCACGCAGTAGTGATACACGACCGCACGCCGGTACGATGCTCATCCAGATCGAAACGGGCAAGGGTGGGGCTCGAACCCAGGATCCCTGGGTTCTGCAGCGCGAGCTTTCGCTCCACGCGCGTCGAGCTGGGTGTGCGCTTTAGCCCACTCGGCCACCGATCCCCCATCAACTCCAGTGGTGAGTGTAATGTAGTGACAAGTTTCACTGTTTTAGCTATGTTTAGCGGACTTTGTGTTTTGGTTGTCAACCTTGTTATCTGTTTGTTACCGGATCAGCAAAGTAAAACCTACCAGTCGTAACCAAGACCGCGATGTGTTCGGCTCAAGTCATTACAATTGGCGACGAGAAACTAAGCCCAAACGGCGGCGTCCGTTAGAGAACAAAGAAAAACCCACGGCGCCAGAAGCGGCCACAACGACGGCACAGCGGCGGCAGTATGACAACCAACGGCATCGGAGAATACCAGCTCGGAACAGGGAGCGCATGGGAAGAGTATGTCGAAAGGTTGGAGATGTACTGCGTGTGTCACAAGCTGGCTAGCGAAGAACAAAAGCGCGCGGTTTTACTCAGTTGCTGCGGCGCCGAAACGTACTCGCTCATAGTTACGCTGGTAAAGCCTAGTCGTCCGACGACAGCGAACAATGCAGACATTGTGGCAGCAGTGAAGTCGCACATGCACCCGCGGCCTTCCGAGCTCTACGCAAGATTCAAGTTTTACAAACGGAATCATGCGGCGGGGGAAAGCATCGCTGACTACGTGACAGCTCTCCACACGCTAGCGGGCGACTGTGAGTTCGGGGACAAACAGTTGCCGCTCGATGTCACGCTCCGTGATCGCTTTGTGTATGGAATTTATCAGCGAGGTGATACAACAGAGGCTGCTCGCCGAACACAAGTTGACGTTCGACGCGGCGTATGACTTGGCGCTCACGGCGGAAGCCGCAGCCAGGCAGCTGAAGGACATCAACGAGGATCGAAGGACGGTCGTGGAAGGGGACGCCAGCGTGCATGCAACCGCAGAGAAGAGCTCGCCTCACTGAAAGAAAGAGAGTTGCTACCGTTGTAATGGTAAGCATCTTCCAACTTCATGCAAGTTCAAGACTTCGACATGTTATAAGTGTCAGAAGCTAGGGCACATCGCGGCAGCGTGTCGTTCGAAAAAACAGGCGGTGAAGCCAGCGACGGGAAGCAAGCGTGGAAACGCAAAACAGGTGCACGAAGTGGATGAGTTATTCTCCATCTGCGAGCTAACCGAGGCACCAAAGAAGTACATGGTCGAGGTTTCCATTGCAAATGAGCAAGTCACTATGGAAGTGGACTCTGGTGCATCCTGTTCGATAGTCAGCGAAGACACGTTCAGGAAAATTGAAGCAAGCTCAAGAAAAAGATTCCTATCGTGGAATCGAGCACCAAGCTGGTCAGATGGTCCAGTGAAACGCTGCCGACCCTCGGTAAAGCGATGGTGGACGTCGTGTTCAGAGATCACGTTGCAACATTACCGTTGCTAGTGGTCGGAAGGCAAGGCAACAGTTTCTTGGGCAGGAACTGGTTTCCAGCGTTGGGGATTGGAGTGCAAGGCATCCAACAGCTGAGTAGCTCCGAAGAGGACCTAACGGAAGCTTTTCAGGAGATTTTCGGCAGCGACTTGCCAGGATTCACAGGAGCACCCCTTCACATTGAACTGAAAGACACCGCTGAGCCGAAGTTCCTCAAGTGTCGTCCAGTGCCATTTGCTCTTCGTGAAGACGTCAACAACGAGCTGGACCGCCTCCAGAAGCAAGGCATCTTGGAGCCTACCCAGTATGCCAGCTGGGCGACGCCACTGGTAGTGGTAAGAAAAAAAGACGGGTCCCTGAGACTGTGTGGGGATTATCGAAGTACGGTGAACAAGGCAGTGAAAAGCAATGTTTACCCTCTACCGACCACCACCGAAGTGTTTGCAGCAATAGGCACCAGCTGCATCTTCACAAAACTCGACCTCACGCAGGCCTACCAGCAGCTGACGCTGGACGATGAGTCTGCAGAGCTCCTCACAATCAACACCTTGAAAGGACTTTACAGAGTCCGACGACTGCCTTTCGGTGTTTCGGCAGCGCCGGGACTGTTTCAGCGTGTCGTCGACAGTCTGATCTCTGGAATCCCTGGTGTTGTGGCGTACCTGGATGATATCATCATCTCGGGAAAAACAAAACAAGGGCACAACGAGCGTGTGGAGGCTGTGTTGCGACGGTTACAAGACGCCAGACTGAGGGTCAACAAGGACAAGTGCCAGTTTGGCAAGATAAGCAGAGAGTACCTTGGACACAAGATCGATGCTTCGGGGATTCACCCAAGTGCCAGCAAGGTTGCAGCAATCCACAGCGCTCCAGCTCCAACTAACAAAAAAGAACTACAAGCCTTCTTGGGCATGGTGAACTTCTACAGTCGATTCCTGGAAGGGAAGGCAGAGGTTGCAGAGATTTTGCATCGCCTGCTAGACGACGGGCGTAAGTGGACCTGGACAAGGGAACACCAGAACGCTTTTGAAAGCCTCAAGAAACTGCTGACTTCCGAGTCACTTCTGGTGAAGTACGACACCAGTCGTCCTCTGGTGCTATGCTGTGACGCCTCACCAGTGGGGGTTGGAGCAGTGTTGGCACACCAAGACAACGACGGGAATGAGCTTCCTATCGCATATGCCTCACGTACTCTTGGCAAGAGCGAGCGGAATTATGCACAAATCGACCGAGAAGGTCTTGCCGTTGTCTACGGGGTTAGACACTTTCACCAGTATCTGGCAGGAAGAAGTTTTACGATCATAACAGATCATAAGCCGCTACTGGGATTGTTTGGCACAGACAAGCGCATGCCTGAGGTCCTGTCACCTCGAATGCTACGGTGGACACTCCTGTTGAGTGCGTACAATTACCAGATCAAGTACCGGAAGGGTCAAGACAACTCTAACGCGGATGGTCTAAGCCGGCTGCCACTGCCTGGAGATGTTGACGAACCAGCACCACCCGGTGACATCCTGTTGCTTGAAGCCATCCAGTACCCTCCACTTCTGGCTACTGACATTGCGGGCTTGACTGGAAAGGACACCGTGCTCTCAAGGGTGAAGCAGTGGGTGCTCAGCGGATGGCCCGATGACAGTTCTGGTGGAGACTTCGCACCATTCGAAGTGAGGCAAACAGAATTGTCAGTGCATCGAGACTGTTTGTTATGGGGTAACCGTGTCGTGATCCCCAAGGCGGCAAGGAGCCAAGTCCTACAGCTCTTGCACGCAAATCATCCTGGAATGACGGCGATGAAGGCAATGGCTCGTAGCCTAATCTGGTGGCCGAAACTCGATGAAGAGATAGAGGAGTTTGTGCGCTACTGCGACAAGTGCCAAGCCAACCGTCAGAGCGACCCCAAGGCACCAGTACACTTCTGGATTAAACCAGAGCAGCCCTGGAGCAGGTTGCACGTCGACTTCGCAGGTCCAGTTAAGGGCGAGGTCTTCTTGGTGATCGTCGATGCTTATTCCAACTGGGTGGAAGTAGATATCATGCCATCGATGACCTCTACTGCCGTAATCAGGAGCCTGCGCAAGTGTTTTGCAACACATGGGTTGCCGGACGTCATTGTGTCCGATAATGGAACTGCATTCACCAGCCGAGAGATGCAAGACTTCCTCAAGCTCAATGCTGTCCGCTTTGTGTACACAGCTCCATACCACCCTGCAAGCAATGGCAGGGCAGAGCGGATGGTGAGGGAGGTGAAGGCGACACTCAAGAAGCAGTCGGAGGGAGATACCCAGTGCAGAATCTCGCGATTTCTGTTCAAACAGCACACCACCCCCCACTCAGTGACCGGCAAGACACCAGCTGAGATCATGATGGGACGGAAGTTGCGTTCGCCCCTGGACAGGCTTCATCCGGATCGGATTAGAGAACCGGAGAGACCAGACCTAAAGGTGAAGAAGTTCCAACTAGGAGATGCGGTCTACATGAGAAGTTTCATCCCTGGCCCGCGATGGAAAGCAGCAAAGGTGGTTGCCATAATGGGCCCAGTCTCGTACAAAGTGCAGCAGGAGAACGGCGAGACTCATCGACGCCACCGTGACCAGCTGCGCAAGGCTTGGCTGGACGTGAGCATCAACCCAACGAGCCGGGACAAGGCTGTTCAACTGCCACCCATCACCTGTCGTCAAGAGCCAATGGAACAAGTGCCTTCACCAAATGCAGAGGTCCATGACCAGCCGACAAGTCCTCCTCCTCGAAGATCAAGACTGCGTCGACCAGTCTCCAGATTGGGACCTTATGTGTATTAACTAACGAAACTGTGCACCTTACTAAGAGGGGAGGGATGTAATGTAGTGACAAGTTTCACTGTTTTAGCTATGTTTAGCGGACTTTGTGTTTTGGTTGTCAACCTTGTTATCTGTTTGTTACCGGATCAGCAAAGTAAAACCTATTAGTCGTAACCAAGACCGCGATGTGTTCGGCTCAAGTCATTACAGTGAGGCGAGCCCGTCACAGCTAACGCTGTAAAAGTACGAGTCAACTCGCGTGTCGTAGTCGTCGCGGCGTCCCACCTCCCGCCTGCCGAAGCGTCATTGCACCGTTGAGCTGGAGATCGACCTGAGCTAGTGCCCGCCAGGTACACCACCGCCGTTGTGTCACCGCCAGGATCGCGGTTGGCGGCTGCGTGACACTTCTTTGACGTCATAAAACAAAAATCGAATGACGACTTTTTTTTTGACGCTTTAAATCATAGTTTTCTGTGGACTGACAATGCCTGGTAGATCGCTACGAGAAGCGGCCGCCAAAACGGAAAAGGTGGAGCGGCAGACAACAGATGAGAGGAGAGCCACGTGACTGGCGCCCCACTGCGGCGAAACGCCGAAACACACTCCCCAGCGAACAAGTGTGTTTTCGGTCCTCGCCGCTGCAAAAGCTGTGCGCTGACGTTTAGGTTCACCGAGAAATGGCTCTTTGATGCTCTGTGCTACCAGATCGTCGCGCTCCAAATCTACGACCGGGCACTCATGGCTCCGTCGTCGAACTGCCAGGCTTTGTGAGTATAGAGGAGGCTTTGGCTAAATACACCAGTCGGAAACGCGTTCCAGGCACCATACCAGTACTGCACGCAATCTCTGAGCTGAAGTAAATGTCTACACCAGCCGCCATTGTTACTGACAGTTTAAATGGGCGGTTCAACCATTTGTGTACTTCCCGCGGATACCGCTTAAAAACAAATCCCTGACGCTTGTGACCGATGACATACGAATTATTTTTTCCCCTACGCCCCCAATACGAGTCACAGAAAAAAATTAAAGAAAAATGAGCAGCATCCAACCCCTCCACTCGCAGCCAGAACAAGCGGCCACGTGGTCTGGAGCCGATAATAGGCCGCTAATGTTGATCATAGCCACGTGCTGGGGTTGGCAAATCACAGAACACGCTCTGAGTTCCAGACACTGTTATGGTTCGGCTATAGACTCTTTCCGGAATTCAAACTGGCAACTTTGATCACTATCATCATCTGAAAAATGGCATATTTGCTATACTAATGGCGGCCTTCTGTTTACTGATGAAAGAAGAAGTTGAAGATGCTCCTAAGCAGATGATTCGATGCCTTTACATTCTAGATATTAGCGCGACGTGAAGCAGGAATAGGGCGCAAGAGCTGCGTAAGCGTACATTTCTAACTCGGGCCCAGACAATCTGTTAGTAGCACACACTCGGTTTCAAAGCCCCTTGATGTATAGAATTTTATCAAGGCGTATATGTGGGCTCGCGCTTCGCTCTGACTAGTTGCATCTTTTTCGCCATGGACAGTGAGAGACTTAAAAAGAACTGGACAGTGACGCGCGCATTCTGATTTACCGTTGACTTGCGAAAGTGACGGTGCCCCATACATCACTGCAGACCACAGGTTTATTGCCGCCATTAGTACGGTAAGAGTTAAACTGCCATTTGAGTCACCAGATGGCACTGAACTCCGGAAAGGGTCTATTGTCGTCATTGCCGCGACTGGACACGGGCCACCACTAAAGCCCCAGATAAAGGGGCTTTAGCCACCACCCAAATGCTTCTCGAGCTCTCGATTACCACGAGCCCAAATCAAGTACCTACGCAATGCTCGTGTCCAAGTTTTGAGCCGCATTCAAATATCGTCACTGGGCGGCACTGCGACCGCCCAGCTGCGTCATCAAGTTTTGCGAAGGAGAGATTGAATGTAATGCTCGCCTTTGTCCGTAAAATTAAACCGCAATAAAGGAGTTTCTTGGTCAGTGGGTTGCGTGCGAGTGTACTTGGGTGCCATTAGTGTCAGTAAGCTCGTGTAAAGCAAAAAAATTTCATGATATATCGTTGCACCACGGCTTTAAGAAGCACCGGGCGTGGCTTACATACGTTCTCGCTGGTTTCTTAGTCATTGGTTCGCCGGCGTTTTATACGTTAATGCTGCTTTCTCATTGGCTGCTCAGAGGTAATAAGATGCTCAGACTCCCTCCCCCGTGCGTTTCTCATATGCGGTGCGTGATCACAACAACAAAATGTCGAGGGAAGTGATGACGGCAATACACAATGTGTCCCCCAAAACAATTTACGGGGTATTGTTTACCACAAATATAAAGAACTCACCTCTCTGGACGCTCATCTTCTGCCCAAATGTAGTGCTATTGGTGGTCCGAAAAAGTTTCGGAATTGACCGTTATCTGGGTCTAAAGTTATAAATTATTTTGTTAAATTTTGTAATAGGAAAATGGCGACCGATGGAGCTCTCGAATACTTGGAGCCGAATGCCGCCAGCTATCGAAAACTTCCGAAAAGGGAACGTAATTTCCCACTGAAACTTTTAAAAAAGCACTTATAACTCTCGACTGAGATGACAATTAGTTTTGAAATTTTCGCATCCGGTTCGGATCTTTAGGTATTGATTTGGGCAGGGAATGAGGGTTCGGCGATGTAAAGTTTATTTTTGCGCTAAAAAAAAAAAAAAAAATCTGTAAATTTGTTTGGTTTCTGTAAATTTGTTTGTCTGTGTATAAGGTCAAAGCGAATCGGTGTTTACAACTTTACTCTTGCGTGAGCATAGACTTTACTAGAACAAATTTTGTAGTGAAGATTTGTATTAAATAGTTTGTCAGCGAAAACACAACATCTACGGCGTGACTAGTTGACCAGATCCTGTATACGCCGCCCGTATGGTAAATAATTTATATACCTCCAATTATACACTGGAGTGATCCTGGGGCTACGCAGTTTTGATAAAATATTGTATACAAGAAACGAACAAGTACTGCGACAGATTGTGTTAAAATGTACGTATCGTTTACTCGGAAAGTATCTTGGATTTATAATATTTCACTCGAACAACGTTGCATTCGATGTAAATGAATTTTTCTCGAACTGTAGAGACTCTCAGGTATTTCGTATTTGAGTGCATTTGTTTTTAGACGAATGGTTGTCCACATTGGAACCAAGCACTTTAAAACGAGCGGGAAATATCGATGCCTGCGCGTTCACCCAATGTGATTATACACACCTCTTTAAAAGGAACGTGTTGGCATGAAAGGGTTCGTATAGTTATTGACATCTTTATGATCTCCTCTTTTAGGGGAACACCAGGGATACGTTCTTTTCTTTAGATGTCACACTTCCACATTGTAAATATTATTGATAACAAACTAATTTCTTCCTTACCAAATATTAGCCTATAAAGAAATAAGTGGAGCTCACTTACTCTGGTAGAGATCTTCGTGGCATAAAGAGTTTCTTGTTGTACGAAGCCCGTCTTTAAGCAGTTGGAGCTGGCGTCTTTCTTCGTCTTGGCAGCCGTCCATCTTTAGATCATTTACGCAAGTAGATATTGCGTCCGCATTCCTGGGAACAAGATTTTGAGAAGAGTTACTGAGAGCGATGGAACAGTTGTTAGCCCATCTGAATCTTCGGGCCTGATGACCGAAACAGGAATAAGGATTATAAAAAAAAAAAAAACGCTTGGAGCGTCAGCTTTTTGTTGGAACCCTCCATGGGCCTTTCTTGCTCTTATTGATGTGAACGCAAGTGGTTGCAATATAATGTGACACTAGTTTTGCCACTAAACTTTAAGTACTCATGTCTCAGGAGACTTGGTGTCACACGACGTTAGGTCTTGTGACATCAGTTTCCACGCTAAACAAGAAAATTACGTTAAAGCTTCAGCGTCGTGTCACGTGGCGTCACCTGACGTCAGTTTCACTGCTAAATTTAGCATAGAAATTCACATCACGTGACCCGAGGTGTCGCGACGTAGTCACGTAACCTTACGTCACAGGACGTAAGGTTACGTGACGTGATGCAACTTCATCATTTCGTGTGACGTCGTGCGCTACGCAAGGTTACAATGTCACGTGATTACCCAAATGCAAGACCTGAGAAATTACGATTAAATTTAGAAGAAAAAATGAAAAACGTTTACAATTGTCTGTAATGCCAAATTAGAGCGCAGCTCTTGAAGAGGAGGAGGGGACGGTGTTCTCCCTCCCCTCTCTACTCTCCCCTTCTCCTCTCCTGCTCCCTCCCCAGTTGGCGGAAAATTTGGAGCGAAAATTTCCCGCTAAATAGAGCGGAAAAAATTCACCACTAAATTTAACAAGGAAATCTTTCCGATAAATATAGCGGGAACATTTCTCCGCTTTATTTAGCGGGGAATTTTTTCTGCTAAACTTAACGGGGAGCTTGTTCCGCTAGTATCCTGGGGAAATTTTCCGCTGAACTTAGCGGGAAAAGTTTTCAGCTAAATTTAGCTAAAAAATGTATCCGCTAAATTTAGCGGGGAAATTTTTCCGCTATATTTAGCGGCGATACTTTCCGCTAAATTTAGGCGCCGTGTGACGTCCCTCGTGACCCTCGTGACGTTATACGTGACACCACGTGTGACGTCATTATGGGAAACGTCTCATAATGCAACTCGCAGTTACGCCGACGGCGACGCCGCTCCAGCCGGAAACGGGCGCCTAAGAGCTGCGCTTTAAAAGTTCCCCCACTAAATTACAATAGCTAGGGCTGCTCGATAAAAAAAGACCCCACCAACTGTACTTGCAGCTTCATTGTGTTTGACGTTATGTCTAAGCCAGGTGATTCTTTATTGAAAGTAATGCATCAGTGCATTACAATTACTTATTTGTCAAGCTGCGTAAGAAAAGTTCACTGTGTGCGTTCGAAACGAAGAATATTCTATGGTAGGAGAACCCCGTGTAGGATCATGTGCATGCACGGTACACTCAGAACACGTAATGAAGTTACTCGTGGCCGATTACATTATGGATGATTTTGTAATCACTAAATTACATTTATTAAGAAGTTACCACAAGAGTAATGTTACTACTTTTGGAAGTTCTACAATTGCTCGTAACTGTTATTATTTTCCTCCCCTTTCCTAGTGTCGCCCTCTGTTTGTACTAGTTTCCTTCCAGAAAATCTTAGACCCAAATGTCTTGCTGGAGGGTGGCTTACCAAAATCTGGGGTTAAAGAAGTGGACACTTAGGTTATAAATCGGTGATTATAATTCAGTGATAGACTGTACGAAAGTCCCGTCTTAATATGGTAGAAAACACTTTTTTCTTTTCTTTTTTTTTAAATCCGATGAAATAGGAAAAGGAACGGTTGCTTTTCAAGTAGTGACCAATTTCTTCTTTGTTCAAATAGTGAAGTAACTTAATTGAATACTTGTCAACTAGTGGTAATTGTAATTGTAGTCGTTTACCTTTTTTCTGTTAACTTGTACAACACTGGGTAGGAGTAAGGTACACTCACGTGCAGTCCTCTTTGAGAGATTCCACTGTGACGCCACTAATCTGGAACTTCACTTTTGGCGATTTTGCCCCATCAGCAGGGAAACAAGAAGTTAATAGAGCACTTCCACACGTCTGAACATCGCAGGCACCTTGAAATAAAGAAAAGATTAAATGCGATATTTTTACTTACAATTTACGTTCATGTGATAGAATAAAACAAATATTTAAAAATTATGATTATTTTAGACACCGCCTTGTATTTTAGTACGTGTTAATTCGTTTTTACCCCCTCGTGTTCAGCTGAGAACAAACACAAGCTGTGTTCGTGAATTTTTATCTACTAAATTGTTTTTCCGCTCGGAAACTATTTTTTTTTACTCTGTATAAATCTAGAGGTTTCTTCACATATTTGCGTTTAAGTGACATCGAGTGCGTAGCGTCCGCACGTAACCATATACGAAGCGAAACAATAAGCAAGAAGCCGGTACGCTGGCGTCATGTAGTCTGTAGCCTTTGAACACAGTCACGTAGGGGACGTGACGCTCGTGTCGAGCATTACGTCAGTACAACCTAGAGGACAACTCTTGGGCCTTTCCTGCCCAGCTTTTTCACAGGTGGATCCACGCAGTGCCATCTACCTTGAGTCAACATCGCCGCCAGCGGGTCTTGCGGCGCCTCGCAACAAGAGCGACGCACGCGGCATCGCCAAAACAGACGTTGTCTGCACCTTTGCAACGGCTGAAGTCAAACTAAGTGTTTGCTGTTTAAGGAGGCTCGGGGAGCCACTAACAATCATGTCACGCCCAGGCCTTGTCTTCTAGGTAGTGTCGATTACTTCCGCTGTAAGCGGCCGTTCTGTTTTATGTAGGATCACAGCAACGGCTATCGATCGGCACGAGGTCCAAACCTTGAGACCATAGAGTTATTATAATGTACGCTAGCGGTTCAACTGGCGCTAGTGTTTATGCGACGTCCGTGACGCAAATTGAAGCAGACAGCAACCAGTCTACTTCTGCGGTGCCCCTGTGCATTCCTATGGGAAAACGCGCCAGCATTTTGTCTCTTCGCCGGAAAATAACACGGAACACTTTGGTTATTTGGGTCATACCGAATAGCATGTACCTTGATTAACACTGTAAAAGTGTAATTGCTTTAGTTAGCGTATTTTTCTTCATCAGTGAACGATGTTTAACTTCGCTACATTTCAGTCCCAAACGTGTGTTCCGCAGCAGGTGTGTATAAACAAGCGAAGATTCAAAGTAAAATTACAATCAAAACGAATATAGAATGTGTACAAGGCTCGCCAGCATTCCGGTGACGCTTGTATATTGATAATATGACAGTCCAGTCACTATATGAAAATGATCCCGTCGTGCATGAGCGGATAAAACCTTCAAAACGTAGAGAATAAAGTCCGTGGGCTATGAAAGATGTCTTTTCGCACTGTTTTCTCTGCCGGGCAGCTTTTATTGGGCACTTGTTCTCAAAGATATCGAGCGCGCGGGTGATATTTCACGTAGAACCAGCAGCTTCGCTCAGGGCCTGCAGGAAAGCGGTATTTACTTATTTAAAATCGGAATAGATTGCGTGGTCTTCAATTTATTTTGATCGTAGATGCACTGCGAGTTACTGATCCAGTGTTATAGTTCTTGCCGCCGCTCTTGATTTTCCAGATGTCCTCCGTTCGTTTGGCATGTATATCCCCCATGCTGGAAATCGCCGACGCCGCGTTCGCGCTAACAATGTCCGACATTGCACATAAATACACGTACGAAGCCGTTTTAGCAGCGTTTTTAATGCGATGAATTCGAAAGAAAAACGCCATAACTGACTAATTCTTCCGTCGGCCTGACTGAGAAATGTTCCAAGCTACCTAGTACGTACGAATTATTTGGGGTATTGGCTCTTATGATCGAGCGCAGAGAGAAAATGCACTCACTTTTTCCCATAGAAATGCATTACCGGAAGTCAATTTTCGACTGGTTGCTGTCTGCTTCGATTTGCGTCAGTACACTAGCGCCATTTGAACCTCTAGCGTACATTATAATAACTCTATGCTTGAGACAATGCTGCTCCTGCCACGTAGCTCGCGCAACGAAAGCAGCCACCACAAGGTCGGACTCGCGGTTCCCGCTTTTGTGCACGGTTTTGCGGACCAAAGAAAGGCGAAAAACGGACAACAAAATGTTGTCCGTTTTTCGGGCAGATTTTTTTAAGTGGTTGCTTAATGGGCAACCGCTCAAGGACGCGTAACAAAGGTCACGAAACGCTGGTGGCTGAAGTGCTCGTGATTGAAGCGCTCCAGCCACCATGGTGGCTGGAGCGCTTGCGTCTCAAGCAACGGTGAATGAAACGTGTGTGGTTGAAGCGCCCTTCGCTCAAGTGCCGGTTGTGTAAGCTCCAGTCACGTAAGCTCGTAAGCGACCGGCACTTCAGCCGAGGCACTTCAGCCCTCGGCTGAAGTGCCGGTCGCGTAAGCTCCAGTCACGTAAGCTCGTAAGCGACCGGCACTTCAGCCGAGGCACTTCAGCCCTCGGCTGAAGTGCCGGTCGCGTAAGCTCCAGTCACGTAAGCTCGTAAGCGACCGGCACTTCAGCCGAGGCACTTCAGCCCTCGGCTGAAGTGCCGGTCGCGTAAGCTCCAGTCACGTAAGCTCGTAAGCGACCGGCACTTCAGCCGAGGCACTTCAGCCCTCGGCTGAAGTGCCGGTCGCGTAAGCTCCAGTCACGTAAGCTCGTAAGCGCCGGCCGCGTAAGCGCCGGTTGTGTGTGCTCCGTTCGCGTAAGCGCCGTTAGCGTAAGCTCGCAAGAGCTGGTAGCTGAAGCTGACATGACCTGACGACTTTGGCGTCATCCTCGACGTTTTCCTTGAGGCCATCCTAAAATTCGTTCTAGACGTCGTTCTTGACGTCGTCTAGGACGTCTTCCAGATGCCATTCTAGATGTCGTCCTAGGTGTCGCCATTCACGTCGTACTCTATTTGTTTAATTATTTTTGCTTTGCTCTCAGGGCCCTAAGACATTACAGAGGGGGAGAGCAAAGTTTGGATAAAACAATGTAGAGTTATTCACATTCATCTGAAAAATGATTGGTTAGAGCAGACCGAGAAAGTGCAGTGTCTGTGTTTGACGCAATTGGACCGGGAAGGTGGTTCCAGTCGAGGAATGTGAGAGGAAGGAAAGACGGTTGGAATGTAGATCTGATAGCGATAGGTACCTTAAAGGAGCTGTGCAATAATTGTAACGTTGAAAGAATTGGCATCTTCTACTTTTGACATTGTTTATCTTGCCACAAAGGACAGAAAATACACCTCCTTCATTCGAAGTGTTGTTGCACCGCCACGTAATCGCGAGGCAAAAATTGGAAGATTCCCCGACCTGCAGCCGCAAGCGGCGGCCATGAGAACCACGCGGCATGACGTCAATGGGGGTCTTGCAGAAAGATAGCATATTGTGCGAATGCCTGCTCGATAAAAGGTAACTTTTCTAGAAATCTTGTCGTTCCAACATAAATATAAATGCGCCAAAAACTTGGTATCATCGACAAAACTTTTATTATACGGAGTTTTAGTGGCGCCATCTATCCTAGGTCCACAAAACGGTCAGATCTATCTGCTACCGCGAACAGCCACCAGAGGTCGGAGGGGGACGGGGGCAGAGCCGGACGAAGATGCCCGGACCCGGATGAGACTTTCCTCCTTTCACCATATTGTTCGCGCTGCGCCAGCACGTGGTCAGAAGGTCGCGAGTGGACGAGTTCTCGCTGCTTACTGAGGGCTCTAGAGAGAGAGCTTCACCGGAACCCCGCGCGACCCCCATTGACGTCACAGCGCACGTGACATGTAAGATGGTGAAGGAATTGAGAGGTGCCGAAAACCTCAATCTTTGTTCATTTTTAAAATAAAAACTAGGACGTGCGGGCAAAAGCAGTTTTTTGCTCTTTACTTCAGAAAGGTCGAGACACCAACTCCCAAATTACGTATTTAAGCAAAGCACTGAAATTGCTGCACAGCTCTTTTGACTTTCTGCAGATGATCATGACTAACAAAAAGAGAAAGGGATGGGTGATTATTTTGTCGCGAAGCACAGGATTATAAAAATACATTATGTGTATTAAAGAGAGGCTTGAAAGCTCACGTCGCAGGAAGAGGGGCAGGACTGACAAAGTTAATTTCATAGAAGTGACGCTAGATGAAGAATGAGAATTAGAAAGAATAAAACTAGCGGATTTATTTTGAATGCCTTCCAACGGGGTGATGAGAGTGGCTTGTCCGGGGTCCCAGACAGAGACTGCATATTCTAACACCGGTCGAAATAGAGTTTTATTATAATCTAGCTTGAGAGAAAAAGGTGCTAATGAAAAGTTACGCCTGAGGCATCCTAACATACGGTTGGCATTAGAAGTGTACTGAACATGTGAACATGTGTTTTCCATGAGAGGTTAGAAGTTATTTGTACACCTAAATATTTGTAAGAAGTTACCGTATCCAGCTGAGCCTGGTTAAAAAAGGTCGTTTTTAGTTTCACGTGACTGTCAAGATACATGCATGGTCTTACGTTTGTTAGTATTAAGACTTACAGTCCATAGGTCACGCCACTGGTAGATAGCAATAATGTCAGACTGAAGCATGATTCTATCATGATCATTACGTATCTCACGATAAATCACACAGTCATCAGCAAATAAGCAAAGAAGTGAGGAAACATCAAGAGGTGGGTTGATAATATCAATTAAAAAAAAATCAAAGGTCCTAAAACAGATCCTTGGGGAATCCCAGAGGCTACAGACGAAATGGAAGAGTTACTATTACTGACTGTAAGTTTCAAATTGTGACCGCTATGACAGAAAGATTGAATCCATGCAAGAAAGTTAACATCCATGTCAAGCTTGGACAGTTTCAGAAGTTGTGTACAATACTTTATCGAACGCTTTGGAGAAATCTACAAAAATGCAGTCTGCCTGGAATCCTCGGTCTTGGATGCAGTGAAGCTCATTAATTAATATTATAAGCTGTGTCTCGCATGAAACTGTTTTTTTCGAAATCCATGTTGGGATGGGTAGAAGAAGTTGTTAAATTCTAAGAAATTGACAAGGCGGGAAAATGATACACGCTCAAGCAGTTTTCAAGGAACACTGGTTATAGAGATTGG